CAACCGTAGCATGTGTGACTCAGGATCTACACCACAACAGGAAGTTTTGAATAGGAGCTTCAAATTTTGCGTTTGGGCGTTAATTATCATAGTGAACTCTTAATGAATCCTCTTCCAAATATTTAACTTGGAGTTCAATGAAATTTACGACTTTCTCTGTAATTAAACTGAAAATACTTTTACGCACTAATTTTGAAAATTAACCGAAAAGCTTGTTAACTTAATCGGCTGAAACACACATAGAACGTTTCAGTACCTTTGCAGTATTTATTACTGTCTGGGAACTTCTCTCTGTTATTGATCTCTCAACACAATTAGTACGTTAATTTGCTCACTAATGCTCTTTGGAGCGCTGTGTACTCTCTTCAGAATAGTACATTAAATGGTTGACACCATAAAAAGGTAACAGGAATCACTACTCTCCTTTCAACCCTTTCGGGTCAATATAATCACGAATAAGCAAAGTTTGTTTCCCTGAAAAATTCTTGAATTATTTGCGTAATGTAAAATGGTAATGCGATTGTGCATTATCATTCTATATTATGTAACGTTCGCAGATTAAAAAGCTTTAAGTAATTCAAGAATTTTCTTCCCTGGGCGGTGGTGTGTCTAGGATTCAATCCCGGGCATGTTTTCATATTTGATTTTACGAAAATATTTTATGACGCAAATATGTAATCAGTTGCTTTAATGGTATTAATGTTGATGCTTACAGCTGCACGCATTACAGCTTATCTCTTTTATATAAATCTGTTATTCGCGACGCCCCAAAAAGACGTCATATTTGACACGTTATTGGGATTAAGTACCGAGGGTATAAGATGCCTCTAGCCATATTTAGTTTAATACCCATCATATAAATCAGATATTTTAGAACTGGCGTCTTCGTGAATTAATGCTGCTGTAATTATAGGCTCATATATTTAACAAACTACCTGTACAGTCCCATTAGTTCGGAACTGTGCCTGACGAGCGCCCGGGAGTAACGATTAGAATTAAAGCTTTGTGGTCGGAAGTTCTTTTTTAAGCTCTAAAGGTATAGAGACAGATCTTAAACATATCTAAAAATTTCGCATACAACTTCTTTAGGCCTGTGTTAATAATTACAACTACGGGATAGTGGGCAACATTGAGGTTAAATTTGACGACTTTAAATAAGTCTGAATATTCGCTACTCCCGCGTGCAAACTGTGTACAGATATGGATCACTAACATAACATCCAAAACTGAACCAAATTGAAGCATTAGCAGGGTAGTAGGCGTTATACGTTCTTCCCAGAATTTCCTGTTTTACCCGGCGTGTTGTAAATCGGACGGCCTGCTTGTTACATGTTCTTCATTTCATATAGGGTCTAGTTTCAGCTCGTAGTTGGTACTTAAAATACAATTCAAAGTTAGGGGACTGATGGAATGTGCTAAGGATCTAAAGACAGTTAGATATGAAGATTTCTGTCTTCTGGGTCTGGTCGATGTTAACCAACGTTTCAGAGGTCATACTGCCTGATGAATCGCCCTGATGATGGAGGCAGTATGACCTCTGAAACGTTGGTTAACATCGACCAGACCCAGAAGACAGAAATCTTCATACTCCCCGCTGTGAAAACCTCAAATCTTACGCAGTTAGATATCTCCGTTAACTCTCACGACTGTGCCACACACGACAGAAAGAAGTCACCGTTTTATTATATCCGATCCGAAACATTGAAATTTCAGTCCTAATGTGGCTAATGTAATGAAAACTGGGATTGTGAATGTAGGAAACTGTGGAGATACTTTGACTGTGGCATTAAGCTTAATCCTGCATAGTTAATGATGGTAATGTTGATTACGGTTATGCTTGTTTCGTAGACATATGTGTCGCCTCTCTATAAGAAAGAAATTTATAATTCTTTCTTGTTCTTTGTTCTTAAATTATTCATACAGAAATTTTAAAATTTAAGGAGCATTAATATTTAAATGAACTATTTCAGCCCCCCCAAAAATAAACTTTATAATCACGCTCTCTCATACATTATATAAATACTAGGGATTGTGAATTCTTTACCAGTTTTAGACGAGACTGCACGCTATCTTAGATCAGACAGAAGACTAACGGTCAAGCATGAAACGAATTTCTAAGTTGAAGTATTGTGTCGGTTGTCACAGTTTACATTTCCATTTTATGCATCAGACAGTTTATTCAGAACAATTCCAGAAGACCAAGCAAGTTGGATCTGGCCTCGTTCGATACTCGACAGATGTCCCGCATAACCGCACTCTTATTTCAGACGAACCTAACAGCACCTGCAGTTTATACAGCGTCATGAAATTACTTATGAACCTAGAAACTCAGGAGACGAAATACATTAGGAAGCAGTGTGACCTCAGCTTAGTTTACTTAGGAGAGCTATCGTCTTTGCATTGGCTCAGTAACAAAGCTGTTTACTTTGCAGCAATAATATGTGTGTTGTTGTGTGTGGGTATAGAGAGCGAACACGTCTATGTTGTTTGTCTCGATTTCATTGTTAAATGTATTGGGTAACTAACACGGTAACTAGTGACGAAAGCGAAGTGGTACTATGAATATAACTAGTAAATTTCCCGTCAAGAATGACAGGAAGGTCTGAAGTAGTAAACACATATAATTTTATCACATAAGGCCCAAAATCTCTTAACAGCATTACGTTGGCAACGGTTATAACACACGCATTCATGGATATTGTAGGATGAAGCAGAATATTCCTTAACAGCAAATGATCAAGCGACACCTACTTATACAGAGTCATAGATATATTGGAGCGATATTGTTTGAAGTGTTTTCTTCCTAACCCAGCGACAAATATTCCTTCCTATAGTTCGAGTTTTAAAAACGAAAATGTTCTTGGTGAAAATGTACGAAGCAGAACGTCCTAGGTTCTCGATGTCAGTTTCTAAGAAAATTTAAGACGTCTTTAAAAATCATTTAAATTTCATTTTATTTTTTTTAAACACTTTTACCGTAACACAGATTATGCTCGTTTCCAGGATACACTTCTTGCTGTGTCAAACCCAAATACATCGGTTTTCACTTTGTCCAGTTTTATTCTTCACGCCAACCCCAAACAACTTACAGGCCTTTGCCTTACGAACAACTTAACACCAGAGCCAGATTAAAAGAACGAAAGTTAGAAAGATATAATTCTTTCCTTAAAACCAATAACAGTCCCTTCAAAGTTATTTGTGTTTCGCCTGAAATAATGGTAAAACCTACAACAAAAGACAATTTGGCTAAAAATACTTTTAAACTAAAAACCAATATTTGTGCGAAGGCATCGCTGACGGAATTCTGTACCTTTTGACTGGTTTTATTCTTGAAAATGTTGTTTGGATTCATCAGCGAATAAGATATTAATCTCAAGCTGTGATCGATTAAACAATGGCAAATGATTTTCCTGATGGTAGACGGTATGCCTACATTTTCCGTAACGAAAAAAGACATGCGACAGACAGAGCCACCACAGAGAGACGTGTCGATATACACAGACCGACGGCTGTAATCCTTTTAGAGATAGCTAGCTGGGCTACTAGAGCAACCCTGCAGCCATCTGTTTCTCCCAGGTTGTTAATACGTTTGTAGTTTGTTTAGGTCTGTAGAGTCCAGGTACAGTACACTTTACACAGGGAGGACAGAGTTAGCTTAGTGCAGGAGTGAACTCGCTCACCCACATAACTTTCATAACTTCAGAATGATTCTTAAATTGTTTTCATGTCTTTGTTTGTAGTTCAATATTTTAAACTGTTTACGTTAAATGAGCTTCGTAAAGTCGGCTTTTCACTGAGAAAGCAAATTATAATGATTATTTGCTAATTGAGGCTGTTTACTGTTTGGTACAGCGGCAATTTGCAGAAGCAGCATTACCATCATCATCATCAGTATCATTATCATGTAGCAGTCAAAGATCTGGGCAACTAGTTGACCCGTTCCGTCCTCAGTAGTCAACAAGTTTCTTCAGAGGTCGTCGTTTGTCCTTGGTTTCTTAATCCACGTGCGATTTATAATTCTTTAATAGTTTTTGAAGTCTGTCTTTTTGCGTGCTGTTAGCATGTTGAATTCAATTGTTTTTATATTTGAAAATGTTTTTAAGTATGAGCTCTCTAGGTATTAACATTTTAAATGTGTCTTCGTTTCTTTTACGTTTTAACTTAACCTTTTTAACTACCCAACTGTTGTGCACTGCTGATCTGTGCCGATTACAAGTAGTTCGACGACAATGGATCGTTTCAGCCTAAATCAGCGTCCTGAGCGGAAATAAATTTTCGGTGATTTTGCAATTTTCCTAGGAACGTAAGATTCTGTGATCGTATAATAATGTTTGGGGCACTGGATTATTTGGCGAAGCTGTGTGACCTGTTGAAGTACTAAGCTGTATAAGGCAGAATGAGGTGATGATGAATGGTGACCTGTCGTGGCCTCAAGCCGAGTTAAGAACGAGAAGGTAATGGATACGCGAGAGACAAAGGGAAGAGATGACTGAAGGAAGGAATACAGGGAACGAACTTCCAAAGAATATGAAACGAAGAAAATAATCTAAAAATTAAAGGAATGAAATTGAGTAACAGAAGTTTTATTTTTTCCCCTGGATGCAGACCGCGGTGTTCTACAGTCGTTTGCGGTTAGCGTGTGTGCAGCTTTATGCAAAACAGGCGAGAGAATTTCGCGACACACGCACCTGCTGCCTTTTTTTCCTGATAATTTCGTCAGATTAGTGAGTTCGAAGGAAAAACGCGCCTTTGGGTTTATAAGCTTCCGTCTCACAACTTTGTACAACTGCTGATATAGTTTTTATTTCAGAGTTACACATACATTCTTTTAAACAAGGAAGATGCTTTTCCTTTATTCTAGCCAAATAAAGCGAGAGTTTTAGATGAGCGACAGACTCTCTATCTTATTTGACCCTTAATAATCTCTGTTACTGATATAACGCAGCGATGTCTCGCAACGACGATCCACTATTTGAGAAATACTGATACACATAGTCTGTCGTAAGAATTAGAACGCGACGCACAGTCAGGCTGAAGCACTCGAAGATGTGCTGAGAGGCATCTGCACTAGGCGTGTAATTGAAATCTCGTGTTTCTTGTTTCGGAGTGGGAGTCAAGGTGAACCGGTGCATTGGGCTGAGGACAGTCGTCCAGACCTAACACGCGGTTCGGCGATACAAACTGGAGTTATTAAATTATTGAATTCAGGGGAGAACACTTTGAATTAGGAAAAAGGAAGCAACGTGGTTATGAAGAAAGTTTCATAATTTGTAATCTTAACGGATGGGATGAGTGATGTGTACAGAATGCATGCAAAGACTTAATCGGAAACACCTGGAAACAAAAAATCTTGAAATAATTGGACGTAGACGGCAGGATAGAATTCAAATTTATCTTAGATATAATCTCGCTGGGGTCAGTGGTTATCTGCGTTAGCGATCTCATGTATGAGGCTGCCTACCATTACTTCGTGTTGAATGAATAGTTCCGTTTTTCGCCACGTAACCCTTCTAAGTCTTTGGGATATAAACTGTGTGTGAACGTGTCCACTTTGTTCACGGTGCGACCCAGTGATTGTCTTCTCAACGGTTCACTGTACAAAATGAAGTTATGTGTTATGAGTTGAAGAAATGTATCATAGAAAAATATACTATTTTATATTTATAACATTTAATATTTACGAATTCTATTAAACACCACTCGTATTGAATGGGATTTCAGGTGCCCATGGCAGCGATTATGAAGAAGGCTGTCTTCTGGGTTGTTGCGTAATGTAGTCTGGTAGAAATTAACTGACGTTTCAAAGGTCCTTGCTGTCTCCATCGTCAGGGTGCTCATAAGTTTATAAGTAATAAGATAATAAGTTTATTACTTATTATAACATAGGCCCTTTTCCTAAACAAACCTTTCGTCATAACACTGGCACTTTCACAAGGAGCAATGTAGCTTCAGAAACGAGGCTGTGTTTACCGAGTGTTAGGGACAGTGTCGGCTGATGTTAAAAGGTTTATTTTAATTGATGTATGATTAATACTTCTTTATATGTGATTTATTTTGATTTTAATTCTTATATTATTTATGACTTCTTTAGAAAATTTGGGTGGAGGTTTTGGAAGAAGGGATATAGATTGTCGTGTTAAAATGGTCTTAGGGAAGTAGGATGGCAAGGTGTGGAGTGGATTTAGTTCTTTCAGTGGTAGTTTCTTATGAAGACGACAACGTAAAATATCAGGTTCTCACGGCGACGATATGAAGTTGGCTGTTTTCTGGCAGAAAATGAGAAACGCTTCAGAGTTATGAACTGCCTCCATCTTCAGGGCCCTAATGATGGAGATAATAAGTTCTCCGAAACGTCGGTCAGTTTATACAGGGTTACGTAGCGCAGCATAAGTAGAAGGCAGTCGTATTTACAATAATGATCGTTAGACTTCTATGTAAAAGAGACGGGGAATCTGTTGACTACCATTGCGAATATCTGCTTCTCAAGATGGACTCTGATCCATGTAGTTGCTTTCATTTATGTTTTACGTATTGCGAATGATACTTGCTGTTGCTATAAACCCAGAGACTGGAAACGTGGTACGCCACTGCGGTCCTTAGATTCGCGGAATAAATTATTGTAGAGCTCAAGTTGACGACTTTGTCATGTTTAAGAGACGCTATCTGTTGTACATAATTCTGGAAAGCTTACCATCCACTATACAAGTTGGCTCGCGCTCATAATCGGATGAAATTTGTCATCCCATCTGCGTAATTAATTAGTTATTACACAACAAGTAAGAGAGCGGTGTACAATGTATCTAACGTGACAAGCGAGAAGGTTAAGAAGCCTGGTTAGACAAAGCTGCAATCCAAAAGCTTTGGTGATTAATGGGTTGCTTGAATAATTGAGTGCAGGGAGAGACAATGAGAATGCAATTTTTATAGCCATGTTAAGATAAGCGCATTGTCCCCCAGCTGGCAAGTGCGGTGGTAGAAGGGTTGAACATGTATTCCCTATAAGCTGCTCCATCTCGGTCCGGAAAGCCCTTTGCAGATCAAGTGATATCCATGCTAAATTAGCTGTTCCAGAAATTCCTATCTCGAGTAACAAACGAACGGATACCCAAGTGGCGTCAACATTAAATGAGAAATATTTGTAGCTATAATATCCGTCACGAAATTGCATGCTTTTTGTGCCACGTAGACGCACGTAATTTAACACAATGTCAGTATCATATCACAGTAATAATGGAACGCGTGTTCTCGAGCAGATTATAACAAATGCATGTACGTAAGTCAGTTTTACAGTATTGGTGAAAACAGTGATACACGTTTAGAAAGATTTATACAAGCGGATAATGTCGGCTCATACACAGCTCTAACATCGAGCGACAGGGCTCACCAGAGATGTACAGTGAAGATGGCTGTCTTCTGGGTTGTTGCGCTGAGTAAGAAGTAGAAATTTACCAACCTTTCAATCGTTCTGATGATGGAGGTAGCAAGCATCTCTGAAACGTCGGTAAAGTTCTGCCAGACTGCGACGCTGCAACTCAGAAGACAGCCATCTTCATACTCTAAGCCGTGAAAACATGAAAATTATCTGTTTTAATAACATATCTTCTGCTAAAGAGTTAAATATTAATGTTTTGTTGTTTTTCAGGAGGTGGTCAGTGGCTGCAAACTTATCTTCAACCTCTGCTGTGAGTACATTAACGGAATTTATCATAATTGTTGTTTGAATGTTGATCAGTTGTAGCGGGTTCAGACAAGTGGGACCGTACGAAACAGAAGTAATAAAGAATCCGTTATGCGTTTCTGGGAGAAGCTAACCTTAGCAGATGCTACGCGCACATCTGACACTCAGACGAATTTTAAATAAAACAAAGGTTCAATACAAGAAATTACGGAATTTTTTTTTCGTGGTGAATTTTAAACAGTTTTTGACATGAATGATAAGAAAAGATTCCAAGAAAATTTCTTCAGAGCTTTATTCTTATTTGTGATTGTAATTTAATAAAAGTATCTGTTTCAACATGTTCACAACAGAAGCCATATTATTATACTCTCTGCTCGTTAGCTGCTTTTACCTATTTGAATAAATGTCTGCCGTTTAAGAAAACAGAACAAATTCTGAACTGCTATAAATTCCGTTCTCAATTTTAAATTAGGATATACTGCTAGAAGATCCTTTACAAATAATGTACTGTGTTTATGTATTGAATTTACTTATAAAATATATAGGCCTACTTATATTTTAAGAAGTTAAGGAATCAAAGAAACTTTCTTACACAGTAGGTCTACCACTGAACTGATAAAAGTTCTGCATCTGTTGATTTCTGCTTCCAGAATATTGCATTATTTTAATGAACACTCTTGCTACACGCACTGTGTTCTTCGTTTTGGATTATTTTTACAATTCCTGTATCTAGGAGGTTATACATTATGTTGCAAGCCAGACAGAAAAACACATACATGTAGGGGTTATTATATGAACGGTAAAAATATGTTGCATGAAAAAGGCTCAACACCTCCGGTATTAACAGAATTAAAATGTCCACCTAGCATTGTGATAAAGTACCAGTGGTCTTGTCCGAAGCCTAAAGTAATCAAAGTTGCAGCCTAATTTTAATTTTTTCTTGTCCTCTTACAAGATTGGAGAGGTGCAACCCAAGAATGCGTTCATAGACAATTCTGAATTATTAATAAAGATTACGTCCGTTGTCGTACTTAGACAGGTTTAGTTTCAAACTATACAAATCTTATGGTGTTAATACCTCCGATAAGTATCATAAATCAATACCGCTGTGTTATAAGGCGCTTTTATTCTAAGATAGCGTACTGCTGTCCTACGCACTGAGTCGCACTTTATAAAGACTTGCTGTTCCAGAATTTTTTATTTCCCAGAAATCAAAAACCATACATAATTTTACGGCCCTGCTGTAAGGCGCTAGTGTAGATCCCACCTCAGAAGTTTTGTCGCCCGTCGTTGGTATTACCAATTGTCAGAAATTGAAAAGTACGATTTTAGGGTAGTCCCCAGTGGCATAACGTCCATATCAAATTTCATCCAAATACGTTGATCTGTTCTCGAGTTAAGTTGTGCCGACAGATAAGACGCTCTATCAGATATACATGATCAGCCCTAAATAAATTAATTTTATGTACATCGTGAAAAGAATGCATAAAAGGTAGAAGCCAGTGTTTCTAAATTTTGATCGCCGCAAGATTGGATCTCTCAACATGTGCAAAGCAGGCATTATAAGAATACAATGCAGTCTCTTCCTACTCTGCTCGGTGTCTTCAATAAATGTGGAACGTTTGCCGAACAGCAGAACATCGTTATAACCCCAGAACTGTAAACTGCTATCTGAAAATGTCGTTCCCTACATGGAGTTCAAGCATAATTTATTAAATGTACAAAACAGAGGAATTTTACACGACTTGACGTCTCATTAAGCGTTAAGCCATTTAATTTTAAACGTTTTCAATACGGTGTAGCTGTAATTAAGTGAAGTAAGAATAGCCTGTCTCAAAGCAGTGCAGTTCCTCTACACCTGATCGATTCTGTCTGCACTAGATATAGAAATAGCACGTTTTAGCAGTATGGATATTCAGTACATCGACATTACAGAGAGAGAAACTGACGTTAAATAAGGAAGAAGGGGTCTATATGGGATTTAGGCCCACCGTTCAGTATTCATTGTCATTTATAAACATTCTCACTATTTGGTTTTTGCAGCTGGAGTTCATGTGTAACTTCTGTAACTTAGCGGTTGAACCGCATCGAATATTAAGTACTACCCAACGTTTCGTCAAACATTGCGTTTGCCGTATTCAGGTCGAATCTGTCGTAGTTGAACGAACTTGGTAGCCTCATATAGGGTGGCGAGTAGTTGGCGAGTTGGATTTGATTGTGCCTTCATAAAACGTTTGCCAAATCCACCCTAAATATGGCAACTGCAACGCTTGTCGAAACGTTGGTGAATCTCAATACTCGACACCGAAGGCCAAACTTTTTCATTTTAAACATGATTTATTCGTTACAGTATCTCAGAAAGTAAAAAAATAAAAATAAAGAGCGAAAAGTCCATTGTACGTCTGCTTCGTCGGAAAACTTTAGTGCCCCAGTCCAGACGTGAGGACGTCTCTTTTATTACTGTTCATGCTGGAACGTTTGTAAAGTGACAAGAACTTTTCTGGAAGTAAGAGTGGGAAGATGTGATTTCAGGGACCGGGTGCATTCTCTGTGCCCAACATACAGGCCAAGCAAGGAATACAGTGGACTCTTCCTGAACGGGTTCTCTAATTTAACTTCCTTTTCTCCTGGAGTCTCTGATCTCCCGACACGACAGAATACGTTTTTATAAACGTGGCATTATTATTAGTATTTCAGACTGCCACCAATATACGTCGCTTTGTGGGTTTCTTGTTTGAGTCACTTAATTTTTTTTAATAATGTGCACTCTTTATTTATAAAACTGAACGACTGAAATTAAATAATGGTGTATACGTATAAGTAATGCCAGTGATAATCTTTCACTATATACTGCATTTTTTATAAGTACCTTTTATTTATCTGTTATGTTTCCAAGTGAAGAATGTGCATCCGATTTAACCAGCTTTTCGATTAACCTTTTTACCGTTTTGTCTCATTTACGCTTGTTAAACAGGAATCGCTTTGTCTTGTTTGTATTTTTCCGTAGGGGAGGACTGGAATCTATAATGCGCATTCCGAGGTTCAGAATTCGCCTTAATATTATTAACCTTGCCAAGAAAAGAAATTATTGATGCCTTGAGTATCAGTGTAACGCTGGGTGGTCCGTTGGAAGCAAGAGGATTGCCCCTCCAGGTTTCCAGACAAGTCTTCCTTCGTAGTTATTCTGTGTCCCCCGGAGAGAGGGTGTCCTGTATACTGGTTCTCCCAGGATATAAAATGTTTTGAGTCATTCAGATCTATTAATCTTATTTTAATTTTATTTTTTCAATTTGACGTACGTTTAACGAAACACAAACACGATATATTGATTTACGCAAAGTGAAAATTATAACGGAACAATATGAACGAAGTAATAGTTCAGATTCTTACAGTGGCGAGTATGAAGACTGCTGTCTTGTGGATCGCTGCATCGTGTAGTCTACAAAGGACGAATCATCCGATCAACTGACTGACTAATTATCATACCCCTGTCCCGACCACAAGGCCTTTCTAGTTTTATAAAAACAAGGAGTCTTAAATTTCACTAAGAACCAATAAACTATCTTCTAGCAAATACCACAGTTATATATTTCTCATTTTCGACTGAAACATTCAAATTCTTTTGTATGTGCAAAATGTGATACATCGATGTTGGTCTTCTGGGCTGTAACGCCGCGTGGATTTTTAAGTAGATACTAACGTTTCGGAAGATCTTTATTGTGATTAATTGTGAAACAATTGATTTTCGTATGCTAAAGTATATCTTTACTTATATAAAATTAACACGGAGGCCAGGAAAGCATATAACATAGTAAAAAAACACATTTGGGAAATGTGCATCACTTCGGATCTATTTGTGGTTTATTTAACGACTCTGTTGTTAGCTCAGACAATATAATACCGAATGATAGAGTGATTAACGAATCATTAATTAGAAAAGATGTCCAAGGAAGCGCTCGTAGCCTAATTTGAGACACTTCCTGGGGAGAGTGAGGATAAGAACGAAAAGTTTCCGGATAATTTATCTTCGGGCCGAGATTTATACCCGGGACCTGCCGAGTATGAAGCAGGAGCGGCCGCCATTGGGTGTTGGCGTTGAGAAAGTTCCACGCGACTTGGATTGGTACGCCTGCATTAATAGAAGGTAAAAATGCGGTTTGTTGCACTCGATCTGGTTTCTTGTGTTCCGGTAACTTTTTGCCGTCCTGAGTTTAAAATAACGCGTGCTCTATCAGAGCTACAGTTTGTCCACAGTCACAAACCAAATTATCCATTGATCCTTGTTAAATAAATAACAACGATGCCCTGCATATTTCTTCGAAAATATTTCATACAGCATTAAAGCCAGCTTCAGCATTTCGATATCGGATTGTTGTAGCAAGAGTGGTATCAGCATTTCGATATCGGATTGTTGTAGAACTGCACAAGCAAGAGTGGTGTAGTCGAGTTAATAAGAGGCATTCGTTTCATTTACATAAAACAATGTTAATTATGACGCCGATTATTTTGTATATAATTGTGAAATTTTACAAATTCTTAAACCAAAGCGTCTTTCCCTGCCACTCATGCGTAACAATAATTAATTGGACGTACGTATGTGTCAGTCTCTAGTTAAGTCTGTAGTAGTACTGGCCACAGAGTTTGAACCACGATGACTGAAGCGAAGCTGACCAGTCATTCAGTAACTAACTAACAAACTAACTCCAATGTGCAGTCTTTTTGTAATCTATAATAATTAAGCAATAGGACACTAAGCTTCTTGCTTCTTCTTTTATTTTCTCTTCGACACAGACAATTTTGATTTGACTCCGATGTTCTGTCGTGCGTAGTATCCGAGCTACAGATATCATCTTTACTGGGAAAATCATTCGGTAATCTGTACTCTCTTTTTCGAAACCAATCTTTGGTCTAGGCGCCAGTCTTCTGTCGGATTTAGTTTCTGGCTTACAGGAAACGTCATCAGGAATTGAACTCAGGACGGTATTTCCTTCGTTTTGACCCAAA